AATTTCAAAACCATTGTTGTGTTTTATCCTCTTACAGTTTTGTAGTCTTTTATTATGTTTCAAAAATTTGGTTAAAGCCAATGTATATATATGTGTGTGTGTGTGTAAACTTTTTTTTTATCACAGCTTGGTCCCATTCTGCCATCACCTAAATTAACAACACCATCAACAACAGTAAGTAAGAAGATTTTCTATTGTTTTCTTCAAAGTTTAACAAAATATTAGACATGGTCTAACTTGCATTTTTCTGTATCAAGATTTCTAACTTCTTCCATTAGGTGAGATTTCAGTTATGATAGTATAAATATTTTAAGACAGTTGTTCTTTATTTCTACCTTTTTTTTTTTCAAACCTGAATCATTTTTCTTTTATTTGCAACTAAAGATGGTGCAACATATCTTAAAAGCTTATTCAGCCTCAGTAACCGACTATTTAAACACACCAGAACTTTTAAATTCCAGTGTATCCATCTTGCTGATTTAAGAGTATCAGCACAAAACTTCATTGTATTTTGCACAAGGCAGGTAGATAATGATCATGATGCCTACTGTACAATTTCAAGTCTAGTAATCACTGTAATTCATAAAAATTGTGGTATTAAAACTTGATTTAAATTGTGTAAATAACACCAACCAATTTCTTTATGTTTAGACTACTACTTCAAGAAGCCCAGGCCCAATAGATACCCATAACTTAGTACTTGAAAACAGTCAAAGGGTAAGGTAGACTGTTCTTTTTGTAGCCCAGTAATATCCTTTTTTTTAAATCAATTTTCTTTTATGCACTGGTTAAGTTATCATCTGAAATAATTAGAGCTTAATTGAATTTGTGATGTTGCATCTTTAAAAATGTATCATAATTTAAACAGGATTAAGTTATATTCCATATAAAATTAAATTGAAGACAAATTACCCACTTTATGTTATTTTGTTTTGTACATTCTAAAACACTGTTTTATAAACATGGTACTACTAACAAACTACTAATTTTGACACTCATACCAAGGTGAAAATAATGTACACAAATACCTAAGAAGCATACTATGGTAAATAAGTGCTTTATTGTATTTTCAATGGATTGTTACATTGGAAATGGTTATTTTTTTTAAAATAGTTGTCAAAAAGTTTTTTTTTTGTGGCACACTATCAGCTTGTTTGCAACACACTCTTTAGGAAACACTGGTCTTGGAGCAATCTCACAGCTGTTGTATCTGATTTACAACAACCACTTAAGGGGAAAAGAGAAGAAACCTTTGTTATAATTCATAACCAAACAACAGGCTTGTGGAGATGAGTGATGAGCAGTTTTCACTATAGTTATATGGCTAATGCTTTGGTACACATTTCTTTAACTAGGATGAAGTGTAGTAGTGAAATGGGTGGTAAGAACAGATTGATATAAAGAAAGTATAGCTACATTATAGTAAAACTGGCACTTGCTTTCTCACGTAGGTTCTGATGTACAAATATAAAAGTTTAATGTTTAAGTATCACTACCACACCATACCAAAAAAAAAAAAATTTTTTT